CAGGGATCAGGGAAACATAGACACATTAAGACATACTAGAAGGGGATCCTAAGGGGTATATAGCATACAGTAAAGAAGACAATGAAGTAGACATGCTAATTGCAGGTTGAACAACAAAACCATAGGTAAAAACATATTAGAAATATGACAAATTGGAGTAATAGGAGAAACATATTGTTTTTGGGACTTGAATTAAAATTAGAATATACCAGTAAAGGGGGTAGTAAACACAAAGTGAGAGGGAACCCAGTAGTCAGCCTTCGCTTGCAGTCGGCTGACTTTAGGCAATAGTAAGTGACACAAAAGAGAGCAGAAAGTTTTTTAGTGTGAAAGAGAGAGTTTTTGAACCAATGTTCGTTTGTTTGTGTTAATGAGAGAGTGTATATACATAGTAGTTCGAAATTAGATAAAAATAAGGCAAGAATCATAGTAGCATAGTAATTATTGAACCAAATACTAATCAGAATCAAATCAATGCTAGTACCCCTTTAATTAAGGGGTAATCAACCAACGGTAATAGGCAGAAATGATTAAGGAAAGAAATCAAGTGGAGCAGAAGGTACAAAATAGACAATTAGGGGTAAGTACATAGAGGTTTAATTAAGGAAACAACTAATAAAGAACCAGTAAAATACTCGGTTAAAAAATAAGGTAAGAAAACAAAATAAAGTTGTAGAATATGGAAATAACCGAAAATCAACATATTGTAAATCATGGAGTCAAGGATTCGAAATTACTGATTTAAGGAGAGTAACATGGGTTCCTAAGTTTAAACAGGAAAATCAAAGGTCTAAAGGGAAGTTTTTCAAATCAAGCCCAGAAACAAGGAGTTCAGAGTCAATCAAAGAGAGAGTTTTAGCATATAAAAAGAGTGAGATAGGAGTAACCAAACATAGCAAGCAAAAAGGCAAGTATTGACCAGTCAAGATGAATACAAACACATAGAGGTGATGTAAGTTAGGCTAAAAACTTAGTAAGAACATATTCGAAGCAAAATAGTCACAGAAACTCAAACAAGAAATGAGCAGTCACGCTAATACATAGAACCAAACGAAGAAATCTAGAAAATTAAGGTTTTCAACATAGGCGAGTTGAAAAGGTAGTAAAATCATAGAATCAGTCAAAATATGTAAGAGATAGAAGTTTAAACATAAAGAATCCATTTAAACAAAGTTTTAGAAGAAGTTCCAAAAACCCTAATTTTAGAAGAAGACGAAAACACTTGAAATCACATGGTTCTTATAAAGAGTTCCAAGAATATTGTAAAACATCAAAGAAACCAACTCAAATCATTTTAAATTGGTATGGATCTAGGAGATGCAAGCAGAAATTAGGGTTTCAAAAGAAACCCAAATAGAGATGAAAGAACCTGTCTAGAATCCCAAGGATCATAACAAATACGGCATGATTTTGCTTGAAATCACACTGGAGTAGCCAAGAACAGACAAGTGATGAACCCTAAATGCAAGTCGGCATGGCCCTGGGCCCTTGAAGGCCTTAGAGAAGGCAAGTATAGCATTAGAAGAGCCATTGGAGGCTTAGGAGTTGATGGGAGATCACCAGAGAAGACCGGAGAAGAGAGGTCGGCGGTTGAAGGGCTAGGGTTTGAGGGGGTTACTGAGAGAAGAGAGGAGATGAGAGAATACAGAGGTGGTAGATTTGGAAAATGACTTAGGGTTAGGGGTCGTTTAGAGTAGAAAAGGTAAGAATGGACGAGGGTCGTTGATCTTTTAGATCAACGGCCAGGATTTAATAGGTTTTTGGTAGGGTAGGGGTAATTAGGGTCTGGGTTGGGTAATCTGATTAGGAATTGGGTTGGGATTGGGTTAAATTTGGGCTAAAATTGAAATGCAAATTTGGCTATGTTTTAAATAGCCAATTTATCCCTATATAATTTATAATAAATAATAGATAATTTCTCAAAATAATTTCGTATGCTATAATAATTTAGAATAGATATTTAACATTTTAAAAAATATATAAGATCAACTTTATGCATATAAATGTAATTACACATTAATAAGGCTATTATTGCAATTATATGCAATTTTAGCTTTTAAAAATACAAAATGCAATTATAAAAATGCACTAAAATTATTTTAACAATATTTTGGTATAAATATAGAATTTAAATGACTAAATCACCATAACAATAATTTGAGGGATAATTATTGAGGATTTTTATGAGTAAAAATGGAGGAAATAAATCAGTTTAAAATCTTTAAAATTAGAGAAAAATTATAAAAACCTTGTGCATGCTTATATATATATATATATATTGAAGGTATTTATGCGTATTAAAAATATATAGGGAAAAATTGGGTATCAACAGCCATTAGCCATTTAGTTTAAATATGTAGTTTTATCATTTAGTTCGCTCATACATGTGTATTATTTAGCGCCTACTTTTGTTGGATTTAATGAAATGTATACTATATTTTTTTTATAATAATATATTATATTTTAGTAGTATTTTCCGTATTATGTATAATTAGTACTTGCTTTTGGACCTTTCATTTACTGTCTTAATTGGATTTATCGGCAATAAAAATGGACATTAAAAGAGGAAAAGAAGACATTTTCGTAATGAATTTAGCGGCCACTATAATTGACACTAAACAATAGCCATTAAAGCAGGTAACATTTAGCGACAATTTTGATTTGATTTAGTGGCAATAAAAATAGACATTAAACGATAGACTAGTCCATTTTGAGAATGGATTTAGCAGCCATTATAATTGCCGCTAATCAGTTGTCGTTAAATCTTATTGCTTTTAGCGGCAAAAAAGCTACTTTACTAGCACTTTTCTTAATGGCTGCTAAAACCTTTAGCGACCCCATGTTCAACGACCAAACCTTATTGGTCGGTATATGTTTTAGCGGCAATAACAATTGCCACTAAAGGCATTTTTATTGCCGCTAAAGGCTCTTTTCATAGTAGTATAGAATTTTTGCACCTCATCTTCATATACCTTAGGCACATCCTTCTTAAAAAAGCGACCCCATTGCTGGAATTCCACCATCTCCAGAACTTGCCTCAAACCTGCCATCTCCGAGATTGCCGGGTCAAACATGTGACCCCATAAGACTTTTTGAGTTCTCAATCGCTCCTGCCCAAGTCCACAGTCACTTAGAATGGTCCTCATTGAACCAGGTCCTCCCACAGTTTTCCGCTTTCATTTTTTAGACATTTCAACAGACTTCCCTTTCCTGCTTGCAACAACCATAGTATCACATTCAGACAAATTTTTCTCAACTACAACCTTCTTAGATTACCATCACTCATCACAGATGTTCCACTTTATTTTTCCACAGCTTCCTCTGAAGCCTCAACCATAGACTTTTATAGATCTTTTGACTAAGGAACTAGGTTCCTCTATAACATCTTCATCAACCTCAACCACTGGAATGTGTTTGTCAGCCACAACTTCCCCCTATTTCATCAACCTCTTCTTCTTTTTCTTATTACACTGCTTACTCTTCTGCAAGTCAAACTCAAATTCCTCTTTCTTCTGTAACCTGGTAGTGGGTTGCTTGGAAAAAAACTCAGAAGTGACCGTTGGTTTGCGTATCATAAAATGGGCACTGAGAACTATGTCATCTTCGTCAAAAGGTACCAAAATAGGAGGAGTGGACTCCAAGGGCTTAGTATAGAAGATGGGCTCCTGGTTTGTTTCGACTGAAGGAGAGTCAGGTTCTCCAATAGGTTTTGCTGTGACTGTGTCATGAACCGGAGACTCGAAAAGCACCATAGTCCTTTCATCCCCTAATAATGGAGTTTCTTCTCCCGAAGACTCAGGCAGAGGGGGGGATCCTGCATTCATAAGACTCTCAGCAGCGATAACCATGATATTTTGCGCCGCTTCCTTTTCTGGTAACTCCATGGGAGCCACTGAGTCTAGAATGGAGGAGTTCAAGTACTGATCGGGATCTTCCTCAGAGACATATGACGCTTGAGGGGTATCACTCTCCAGGTGTTCTTTGGTATGATCAGAAGAAGGAGGAGATGGAAGTGAAGTGGGTTCTGACGGAGAAGTAAGGACGACCAGATATAAAGAGGAGACCGGTGTGGGGACAATAGTATCAGGGATAGTGGAGAAGTGGATTTCTGGTGGTGATGCTAGGGAAGATGGAGATGTGGGAGTGGTGTTGATGACAGGAGAAGGAGAAGATTGTTCATTGGCCATTGTGAGAGAAATGTTAGAGGGTTCTGAAAAGAAATTACAGTGATGCAATGGGAGATAATGGTTCAAAACTGCTGGGAGTGGGAGGGTTTTATGGAAGGAAGATCTAATAATGAGAGGGGAGAGGAACGAGTTCTGAAGAACTTCGAAACGACAGTAGGTTTGTGGGAATACGTAACGTGCAGAGGAAGTGAAAGGATTTGAGAGACACAACGTGATATATAGACTCTGAAAAGTCGGATGATGTGGCAGTTGCATTAATTTTGTTGTCTTTTGAAAAACCATTAAAAAAGCACATTACTATTAACTTGTGGTGCAGGAATCAGGTTCCTGACCTGTTGTTGAAAAAGGATTTTGCAGATCTCTTTCGCAGTTCAACATTGTACCTTTAGCTTCTATAGTCATCATGCGTGTTTACCTACAACGGTATAGATTTGAGTTAGGTCTGGTCAGAAAACACTTTAGCTAATTTTACCTGAGTATGACTTTCATATCCATATGAGTAGAACCAAGTTCTCAATTAGGTTTAATTAACCCCAGTGCCATCCTATTTCTCTCAAAGTGTTCCCTGCTCAGAGCTTTAGTGAAGATATCTGCAATTTGATCTTTCATGTAGCAAAATCTCATACAAATAAGTCCCTTTTCCACATTGTCTCTGAGAAAGTGGTGTCTGACATCAATGTGCTTGGTTCTCTTATGTTGAACCGGGTTCTTTGCCATATTAAGAGCATTAGTGTTGTCACATAGAAGCGATACACAATTAATGTATATGCCAAAGTCTTCCAATTGTTGCTTGATCCACAACAATTGAGCATATCACGAGGCAACTGCAATATATTTTGCTTCAGCTATTGAGAGTGCTACTGAATTTTGTTTCCTTGTACCCCATGAGATTAGACATGAGCCAAGGAAATGAGCCATTCTAGATGTGCTTTTCCTATCCACCAAACAACCTGCATAATCAGCGTCAGCATAACCAATAAGGTTGAAATTGTCACCTGAAGGATAATATAGAACCAGGTCCTGTGTGCCCTTAAGATATCTCAAATTCTCTTAGCAGCCTTTAGATTAGATTCCTTAGGATTTGATTGAAACCTTGCATATAATCCCATACTAAACATAATGTCTGGCCTGCTGGCAGTAAGGTAGAGTAGAGATCCAGTGATTCCTTGATACATTGTTTGATTTATAGGTGATCCAGAATCATTCATGTCTAGCTTAGTAGCAGTAGAAATAGGGGTATCAATCACCTTTGATGCTTCCATATCAAACCTTTTAAGAAGTTCTTTGATGTATTTCTGCTGACTGATACATGTTCCCTTTATGGACTGCTTCACTTGAAGACCCAGGAAGAAGTTCAGTTCCTCTATTATACTCATTTCAAACTCACTTCCCATGAGTTTAGCAAATTCTTCACATAATGAGTCTGTTGTAGCCCTAAATATGATGTCATCCACATAAACCTGAACAATGAGCAGGTTCCTTACTCAGTAATAACAAATTCACTCAGGTCTCCAAACCCCCAATATTCACAACACATGAACGGTACACACGATCTACAATAACCGTATCGCCCACCGGGGTAGATACATGAATAGGTAAAGCAAGAAACTCACGGGGCGTACCCAAATAACGAGCAAAATACAAGGAAACATAAGGGTGGAATCGGGATCAAATAATACAGAGACATCTCTATGGCAGACTGAAACAATACCTGTAATGACAGCATCTGAAGCAATAGCATCGGGTCTGCATGGATGTGCATAAAAACGAGCCTGACCGCCCCCTGATCGACCTCTCCCTCTGGGGCGACCCCTGGCTGACTGATCCCCACCCCTAGCTCGCTGAACTGGTGGTGGTAAAGAAACTGGCGCTGAAGCCGATGACTGACCTCTCTGCTGAGATGGACTAGCAAAACGACGAGGACGCTGCCTCCACATGTGACCCATATCGCCATACTCATAACAACCCCTAGGTGCTGGAGAAGGGGACTGAAGGGAACCCCTCGCACCAGAGTGACTAGCAGATGCACTCAACATAGAAGAGCCTTGAACTGATGGAGCATGGGATGAACTCTGAGCTGGAAGGGCACTAAATGATGACTGGCCCTGCTGAGAACTATGCCTCACGATAACCTGGGCAAGCAGGCTGAGCATGCCTGAATGGACGGCCTCGGCTGTGCTGAAACTGACCTCTCGAAGGAGCACCACTATAATTGCCAGATCCTCGAGGCCTCTTGGCCTCCCTCTCCTCTCACTCCTGGCGATGAACAGACTCAATCTCACGGGAAATATCCACGACCTCCTCTAAAGTAGCACCAGTCACCCTCTCCTTAATCATGAGAATGCAGAGTTGATAAGTAAGACCATCAACAAACCTCTTAATCATTGCTCTATCTGTCGGAACCAACCAAATGGCATGACGAGATAACTCGAAGAACCTCAACTCATACTACGACATGGTCATCTCCCACTAATGCAACCACTCAAACTGCCTATGCAACTCCTCTCTGCGAGATTGCGGCACATACTTCTCTAGAAAGAGAATGGAGAATTGCTGCCAGGTAAAGCGGTGCTGCACCAACAGGCCTACGCCTCTCAAAATACTCCCACCAAGTGAAAGCAGCTCCTAAAAACTGATAGGTGGTAAAAGCGACCCCGCTGGTATCCAGAATACCTGTAGTACGAATCATCCTCTGATACTTATCCAAAAAACCCGGGGCATCCTCGCCCTCTACGCTACTGAAGGTTGGAGGCTGCAATCTACCAAATCTCTCCAACCTACGCTGCTCATCCTCCGGCATGACAGGAACCATATAGTCCTGAGCAGCTGCAACCGGCTGGGCTGGATGTGCCCCCGGCGTCTGAAGTCCCTGCATGACCTGCTCAAGTGTGCGAGAAGCGGGAGCCTGATTGCCTCCCCCAGCCTGAAAAGTAGATGCGGCTATAGTGGCTGAAACCGCCTGAGCCAGGCCAGTGCAAACTGATAAGATCTGAGCTAAGGCCTCCTGAAGACCCGGAATCACGATGGGCACAGTGGTGCCTGAGCTGGTGCTGCTGAAGTGTCTATAGCTGGGACCTGGTCTTGAACTGGGGTAGCTGGTGAATCTGCAGGTGCTTCCCTCGCTGCTCTACCTCTACCACGACCATGACCGCGTCCTTGGCCTCTGGTGGCCACAGCTGGTGGCACTAGTGGTCGTCCACCCTGTCCAGTAGCGCGTGTCTTCACCATTTGTGAGAGAATAGAATAACAGAAGTTTAGTACTCGGATCAACAAGTTCGCACAACAAGAATTTCAAGAATGTGAAGTCTTTCCTAAAGGTTTTGCAGCCTCTCGAGGATAAATACTGACGTTTCTGTATCGATCCGCGAGACTCTACTAAACTTGCTCATAACTCGTGAGACCTATGTAACCTAGGCTCTGATACCAATTTGTCACAACCCTAAACCCAGACCCGGTCGTGATGATGCCTCTCATGAAGACAAGGCCAGCCAACTATTCCCAATTCGATGTTAAACAGTTAAACAATAAGAAAGTAGTCTAAAACATGATTTAATAATACTAAGTAGCAGATAATATCATAACAATGTGGAAGTACAACCCAACACAGCTCTAACTGGGGTGTCACTAGTCATGAGCATCTATAAGTCATAATACAATTCTGCTAAGTCCATAAACTAGTACAAATGTCTGAAAGGAAATAGAAGCGATAGAGGAGTAGAGACACGGGGCTACGGACGCCAACAACTACCTCGTGAACTCTGGATGTCCGCCTGAAGCTGGAGGGATCAGCACTCCGGAGCGGAATCAGCTACACCTGAATCTGCACATAGGGTGCAGGGAGTAAAGTGAGCACTCCAACTCAGTGAGTAACAAATGTAAATAACGACTGAAAGTAAGAAAACACGTAAGGCACAAGGCATTCTATAATGAAGCAGAAAAATCATTTAAAAGCAGTAAACCAGTGAAAAGTCAAGTAAAATCTTCTTTCAACAAGTAAACAAGTAATTGACAGGTAGTTAAGGTAAAGTAAACAAATAGAAGTTTGCCCCTCGGGCACAGTATCAACAAATCCGCCCCTCGAGCAACATGTCAGAACAATACAAGCCTCTCGGGCTCAATCTTACATCACAATGGGTACCCGCGCTCAGTGGGGGTGTGCAGACTCCTGGACGGGCCCCTTACAGCCCAAGCGCAATATCAATCCATCTCGTGGCATCAACAATAGGCCCTCGGCCTCATATCAATCAAGCCACTTCGTGGCGTACATACCTCAGGCCCTCAGCCTCAAATCAGTATCAGTGTTTCCTCATAACATAGGCCCTCAGCCTTGCTCAGTCAAAAATCCTCACAAACCACTCGGGCAATAGTAAAACAGTGTTTCTCATCCCAAAACATCATTTGAAATATCATTTAAGTATTAAAACTGAGTAAACATGGTTGAGTATGAAAACAGTGGAAATAATATGACTGAGTTCAAGTATAAAGTCAAAACAGTGAGGAAATATCAATAAAAATCCCCGAAGGGTTCAAATAGTTGGCACTAGGCCCAAATATAGCATTCAACCCAAATAACGATGACAACAAATAGTTTTCAGTCAAATACATGGTAAAATCATCAATCGGGACGGACCAAGTCACAATCCCCAATAGTACACAACCCCACGCTCGTCATCAAGCATGTGCCTCGCCTCAATATAGCACTACGATGTGCAATCTGGGGTTTCAAACCCTCATAACATCATTTACAATCATTACTCATCTCGAACTGGCTAAATCTCTATCTCGTGATGCCTTTGCCCCTCGAATCGGCCTCCACTCGCATGGAATCTATCCAAAATCAAAACGAGGACGTCAAAATATGCTAAGGGAACAAAGCCCAAGCGAAAACAATCAATAAAGGGCACAAGTCGCAAAATTACCAAAACCTGACCCCCGGGCCCATATCTCGAAATTCAGAAATTTTTACATCAATAGGTTCCTTATCTCCCCACGAGTTCAGACATATCAAAAGTTCTCAAATCCGACCCCAAATGGTCTTTCAAATCCTCAATTAAAGGCCTAAGTTCCCAAGCCCTAGTTTCCCCAAATTTCACCCTTAATTTCCATAATTTCTAGCTTTAATCCGTGAAATAATAGCATAGGAACGAGTTTCAAGTCCAATTTTCTTACCTCAATGAAGCTTCCTTGAAATCCCTCTTTCAAGTCGCCCAAAAAGCTCCCAAGCCGAAGTCAAAATGGTGAAATAACTCAAATTCGCGAAGAAGACAATTTATATGTTCTGCCCAGACCTTTTCGCACCTGTGACACAATTCCCGCTTCTGCGGTACCGCATATGCGGCCTTTCCTCCGCTTTTGCGGAAATCACTTAATGGTCCAAACCGCATCTGCGATCAACTCTCCGCATTTGCGGCTCCGCAGATGCGACCCTACAACCGCATTTGCGGTTCCTAGGAATTTCTCCGAAACCGCTTCTGCGGATCTCCTCTCACATATGCGGCGCTGCACCTGCGGTCCCCAAACCGCAGGTGCAAAAACACTAGAAGCAGCAACTTCAGCAGCTGCAATAACATCTTAACTTCTTCGTTAACCACCCGAAATCACCCCGAGGCCCCCGGGATCTCAACCAGAAGCACAAACATATCCTAATACCTTATTCAAACTTGTTCCAATCATCAAAACACCTCAAACAATATCAAATCACCCAAAACACATCGGATTCAAGCCAAACTTTCTAAAATCTTCCAAATTTCGCTTTTGATAAAAAACTCAACCAAACCACGTCTGAATGATCTAAAATTTTGCACACACATCCCAAATAACACAACAGAACTACTGCAAGTCTAGGAACTCCATTCCAACCCCTATATCAAAATCTCGCCTGCCAACCGGAATCGCCAAAATATTAACTTCGCCAATTCAAGCCTAAAGCTACTTCAAACCTCCAAACCCCATTCCGATCACACTCCTAAGTCATAAATCACCTCCCGAAGCTAACTGAACCATCGGAACTCACATCCGAGCCCTCTAACACATAAGTCAACATCCAGTTGACTTTTCTAACTTAAACTTCCTTAAAAGATACTAAGTGTCTCAAACCTTACTAATATCATTCCGGATTCGATCTAACCAACCCGATACCACAAAACATGGATAAACAAAGCATAAAGAAGCATAAATAGGGGAAATAGAATGGTAACTCATTAGACGACTGGCCAGATCGTCACACCCGATTCCCTGCCTGTTTCCACTATTGTTGAAGTACATGGCAGTGACAGCATATGAGGACCAGGTCCACTTAAGAGATTTTTCAAGATCAACTTTTACTTTCTCCAATTCAGCTTGAAGTTGCATATTTTTCTCGAGTTCACCACATAGAGTAGTTTTCACATCATTT